CGCATTTCTCTCCCTCTACAGCTGTCGCTTCCCTCAACTGGTTTCACGGATGTTGTGCGTGTATTGTGTCTCGTTCGCGAAAAAGAGACGAAAACATCCCCTCCCACGCACGCTAGGATACAAACAGTTCACCTTTCGTGGTCGAGAGCCCGTGCACTCAACAACTGCCACGCTGCCAAGCGTTTTGTCTAGAGAGAAAACTATAATATCAGAGGCCCCCCAGAAGAGAATGTTGTTGACATTGACTAGAAGCTACAGTTCACAGCATGTGATTGGCTACATACATGTCACAGGATGTCATGATTCAGAGCATGTGATTGCCTACACACTGCATGTTTGGAAGTCGAACTTTAGCAATTCATGGAGGGGGGCTCCGCATAATCCACTGGAACCCGGTTCCTTTCCCGTTACGCACACAGCATGATTTTGGTAGATAGCGTTGAGATGATGGAGGTGCCGACGCGAGGCCTGCGTCACATCGCAAGGGATCAACTCCGACTTCCCTGTGCTTTCTAATGCTCTAGATGTAGGTTTGTGTCTGTTGGTGCTTTGATCGTGTCCCCCCGCCGGTGCTTTGCTCACACTCCCCGGGGGAGATACAATGGCACGTGTGCGCGCCATGTGTTCCTTTCAGACATGTAACAGAGTTTTTATGACAATATTGGTAGGACACCGTTGACCGCACACGTGACGTCTGTCGCATCGCGATTGCGTAGAACTCTTGTAGCGACGCCGCAGCATCCCCCTGTACAAATGTAACAATATCTTGCGGGCAATGTTCATGGGAAATCTTGGTACAACTCAAGCCATTGTTCTTGTTTTCTTTCGAATCCGATTTGGTGCAATGCCCATGGAAATCTCAGTGCAACAATAATTGTTTTTCGAACCCAATTCGATTTTACGCTCGATGCTTCTCTTACAGCCGCTAGGGCCCAGGACTCGGACACGTGCGTGGAGGTGGTTGCGTCTAACCTAGAGGATGACGACTTCCCTTCAGCGGACACTCTCTACACCAACAGCCTGGGCGACGACGTGCGAGGGGAGTACATCAGCGAGGACGGGGGGTACTTCATTTGGTGAGAGAAGAGAGGGGGGGGGGGGGGGG